CAGGATGTGTGTCTACATCTACATCTGTCCAACATAACAGTACAGTTGTACTGGGAAAATGTCTGAAGAGTAGTTTCCAGAATCCATTTTGATAAAAAAAAACATTCAGATAGCTTCATGATAATCTGTTAAAGAATAATACTATGGAATATTTTATCGTCATTTTGCATTTTTTTCCCCTTGGCATAAAGAAGTTAATTAGAAAAATAACAAGAAATTTCTCAACTGCTTACTTCCCCTTGGCTGGAGGTATCGTTTTAGGAAAATCCCAAAGCTCTACACTAGTTAAATTGTAAATACAGTATATTTTATTACTGCTTTTCTATAATTGTATACCTATCAAATCATCCGTTGCACCATAATGATGAAAAATTTATATAGGATTTGGAAATGAGCAATTAGGTTTCTTGCAAAAGGATAATGATGTTTATTGCACAACTCTGTGCTGTTTCTAATTTTAATTTAAAGTGGCCTGAGGACTGAGTCAAATTATAAATCAGTTAAAAGAAAACTCCGCAGCCAATTTAAAGAGTTTGCTTAAATTTAAGAACTAAGAAAAAATACTACTACTTCTGCATGTAGTGCATGCATTTTTCTTTTCTGAAAGTTAAATCAAATATTTTAGCTGATATTGAGATTTTGTTGTTTCCTTGGAGAAAACCTAATTGGCTCATGCCAATACACTTTTATAAACATAATTTTTATATACTCACTTTATGCCCTGTGGTAGATCAAATAACAGCAGATTGTCATTGAGAAGATTATAGTTACAAATGGGAAAAAGCATCAGTAATGTCCAAGTAGATTTTTTTTGACATTTCAACTTCAGAACCTTGCAATAATGTGGTTTTTTTGTCAACAAATTCCAATTTTATTTAATGTTTCATTTATGCATGTGATTAATTATTATTGAAATATCATTGTAGGTCAAGTATTGATCACTCCACCAGATGAAGAAATGATTATACTTGAAAGCTGCCAACATAGGGAATAATATCCTTCAGGAAAAAGAATACCTGAAAATGCAGCCTAGACTATACACTACAGATTAATTTAGGCTCGTTTACCAGTGACCTTAAATTAACTAAGTAATCAAATAAAGGTTGTGATTGGATTCTTCGAAAGAGACACTGAAGTTCACTGTGAAAGTCCGTGAGGGTGGTGTGTTTTATGACAGTCTTTTGTAATGACACCGTCAACCTTCTGAAAGGCCCAAGGCTTTCCAAACTCACCTCTGCCTGGATGTATTACTTTCCACACCCAGCAATCACAATGCCAAACAGTGTAACATCACACATCACTTGGCAGGAACATCATGTTTGTTACTACACCTTATAAATGAACACATACACACTTATGCGAGCATATGCCTTTCAACATCTGCTGGCCCCACCCTAATATCCCACCCCGACCACCACCTACACACCCGCAGCTCCCGCTAGACATTTTTCCATTTGCACCTCTTCTTCCGCTCCTCTCAATTGGGTTGTACAAATCAGCTTGACAAGGAACACCACTTCTGGTCACCCCATTTTCCCCATCCTGCTCCTTTCTGTGTTCCTTCCTCTGTCATGGGAATATAAAGCTATTATACTTTAAAAAAAAGAAGCCGCACAACGCCAGACAAGCTTTCCTTTTGTTCGCCATAGACTAACAATTAGGGAATGAGCAGAATTATTGTTTGTAACAAAATTGCTTTCATAAGAATATCCAGTCAGACTGATTTTCTAGACATAYTGCGGACAAGTCTTTTTGAATACTGACACCATAACAGAAAGAGTCTACAATATATATTTTTTAAATCAAACAATTACAACATCTTCAAAGAAGACAAGAAGAGCAAGAGGGGAGGGCACGAGAAATGAGAGCGCAAGAATGCACCTGGTAAATGTAAAATGTGTCATTTATGTGGAAGAGGTGACAATAAAATGTGTGTTTGGCTTTCGAGCGTGGAGGGACTGTCACTTCAAACATGCCCCAGACCGAGGCAAAGATGTGCAAAACACAATAAACGATGAGCACACAAAAAGAAGTCGAATAAAAAAAGGCTGTAAATCCATTATGGAGCATTGTGACACTGCAGCAGTTATTGGGATATATTCGCACTTCACCTCCCAGATGACCACTGGGGTACTCTGAGAGAAAGGCAATATAAAAAAAGAAAGAAAAAAAATAAAAGCACAGGCCAAGGATCCTAAAGTGCAATGGCAGAAAGACATGCAGGGGGAACACAAGGAATGGTAACACACCTCTAAATGGAAAAATTGTTATTTTTCATCATTTATTCATGAAGAATGAGATTGAATTTAGATGTGACTCTTTGATTCTGAAGTAGTGCTCTGCAAAGGATATGTGAACACTCAGGCACAATATATACACTTTCATTTACACAAACAGCTGAGGATCTGACGCCTGTAAAAGCGAGGCTCACATTCTATAGGCTCAATACATACATTCAAATCACCAATTCCAGATGTGGCCACATACGGAGCTGTAAATGAAGTCTTTAGATGAAGCACTGGACTAATTGAAGCATACACAATGAGAAGGGAAGCAATTAAGTCTCTCCTGTGTGTTTGTATGTGGGGCATGCGAATATGTGCCTGAATAGCTTTAATAATGATATATGGTAGGCCCATGAAACACTCAGGAGATATAAATTACAGATATTACGAATTAATTTCAAGCCATTAGAGATCTGAAACACTAGATGGGCTACGAAAACATAACACATGATTACATAAAAACAKCTGCTCTGTGCCTTGGTTACACAGGGTCTGGGAACTTTGGTAAAGGTAGATAGAATACCGCAACCACTCAAGGAGAAGAAAGTATTTTAGATTAATAAGTCCGCCTTAAGTAAGTTGAATTGTGTTTGAGAAGTCTTTTGTCTCTGATATGAATGGTATCCATCACTAAATTAAAGCAGGCCACATAAGACCTGCTCACTGTTGCAGCTGTTGGAGACAGCTGATGGCTCAAACTTGACTCCATACCTTGAAAAAAGTGTGAAAATTTGTTTGTTGCAGCCCCATTATTTCAGACAGTTTGTAAYGAGGCAACCAAGAAGCAGTGCCAGCACTCAGTTTTGAAAATCAC